GGAACGGGTATGAGCCTGGCACATAGAGCCCCCGAGACCTGACTTCCCCGCCATAACCACGTCTCCCCATCACTGTGGGGGATGAAGAGGAAAAAGGTCAAGAGGGAGCCTGCGCCATCCTCTGAAGGTGAAGCTGGGAACTAGCACCCCCAACCACTGCGCTGAGGCCCTCCTCCAACACCACCCAACCCCTTGCTCTATGCGTCCAGTGCTTGGCAGTTGCATCAAGCTTCCCTGGCAGGTTTCATGTAGTTTGGTTCCTATCATGACTCCATTGAATGTGCACAGAAAACCGGGGTATTGTCCCATCCAACGCACTGTTGTGTGGTTCAATTTATTTTAGATCCGAGGGAAACCAGGACACTCCAGAAAGACTTAACCACTTTCTTATTTATTGAAAGCCTTTAAGCAGTTAATAGAGTCCTATAAGTTTTACAGGCCTTAAAAACAGTTACTATACAATTTAAACCTTTTAAAATTTTGAAAATAATAATTAGCATAACACAAAACAATACAAAAGCAATTAACAAAAGATTTATTATAATCACCTAATTGAGCCTAGTTCACTTATACTTCACCTGTATGCCACCTACAGTACCAAGCAAGAGGTTCGTGGTCCCTTTGACTCCCACACTTCGGGACCCCATGCATTGCGGTAGCCGGAGTGAAGGGTCCATTATCTCTAGTTACAATGTGGGTCTATCCTGCTCACAACCTCCCATCAATTCTTCTTACTAAGCCCATTTTATAGCAAAGCAAGACTCGGTCGTTCTAACAATATTTACCAATTAATTGCATATTGTGTAGGATCCCTATTATACCCTTATTTGGGGTACATCCTGCTACTCAGGAAGTTGTAAAACGATGTGCTTAGTTAACAGTCCTATGGCTGCCTCTGCTTTTTGCTCATCAGAAATGAAATGTACCAGTTTACTCCCAGTTTTCTTGGCATGATTGTGCTGTACTATGCAGGATGCGCATAATTGTGCAAAAACATTCCTGCCACTCAGAGTCCCAGCCTTGCCTGTATGCTCCGTGCACCAGACTTCAGACAGGCCTGTACTTTGCTTTGTTAGAGATCAGTCTTTTGGGTAAAGCAGACGTTGTTGTTTTGGATTGAATAATGTTTGAAGTTGAAATCCTACAAATTTAAAACTGTTCTTTTACTTCCCTTTTGCAAGCACAGTAATACAAAATTCTTTGATGTACATTTAATGTCTTGAACTTTCCTATCAGTGTAATCTATGCAAGATGACTTTGCCTAGTTAACGACGGGGCTCACGTGCTAATTTCAAACGTTTGCTTCCAGAAGACATCAACAGACTCAGCCAACCTATTGGGAAAGGGGGGTTCATCAAGTGAGTAGCGGCACTTGACTGACAATGGGCCTTGAGTGGCACCAATCCACATCCGATGAGCTTTGCTGAGAGCACAGAGACCAGCATGTGAGCCATAGCTGCTGCCTAAAAAGGACTGAGTTGTGCATGGACATGTGACTTGCTTATGTGACAAAAGCCATCTTGGGACAGACTTACATCCAGAGAGAACAATGGGATTCCCTCCACGTGGGCGAGGCTCTAAAAGGGCCCTAAATGTTCCTCCGTATTGTCTTCATTCCACCTCGTCACCTCTGAAGGATGCCTGCTAGGAACTGAGCCCACTGAATTGACCTCGTTATCTCTCTCCTTCCTCTTGATTGGAACTACTTTCTTTTCATGTGCCTGTATATTTATACCTGCCTGTGGAATTTCCACTACATGCATCTGATGAAGTGTGGCTTTGCCCACGAAAGCTTATGCTCTAATAAATCTGTTAGTCTATAAGGTGCCACGGGACTCCTCATGGTTTATGCAGATTCAGACTAACACGGCTACCCCTCTGATTCTCATTTCCTGGCAGTTGCATCAAGCTGCTGCTGCACAAGCTTTTGTCCATATTATGACTCCACTGAGGGTATTTCTAAACTACAGGTTTTTTTCAAAAAAGCTCACTTTTTTCAAAAAACCTTCACCTGCGTCTTATGGCAGCTGGGGTGGGCACACTGTCATCGCCAGAGGGCTGGGAACGGGCTGCCGTGGTTGGTGTTCCCATAGGGGTCAGAGAAGGGGGCGGCCAGCCAGCCGAGCCTGGATAGACTGCTACCGCGTACTTTCAAAATTAAATCAAAAGAAAGCGGCAGTTTTTTCGACTGCGGTAAACCTTATTTCACAAGAAAGATGCCTTTTTCCGGAAGTGCTCTTTCAAAAACGGTGTTCTTGAATGCAAACCGTGCTTTTTCTAAAGAGAGCATCCAGACTGCCTGGGTCAGCTCGCTTTTTCGAAAGAAGTGGTTGCCATCTAGATGCTCTCATTCAAAAGTGGCTTGTAGTCTAGACGTAGCCTGAATGTGCACAGGGAACCGGGGTATTGTCCCATTCTATGTTCCCGTGTGGTATGGAATCAGGCAGCAGATACTGGTTCACTTATCCACAGCAACAAGCTTCACAGACAGACATGTGCCCCACACTGCCGATGGCTGCATGGACCTGTGAGTGCTGGTGCACGTGCACTATCAGGGACGCAGGACTCCCAGCTTGCAGGACTTTGTACAGTCCCAGCCAAACACTCCATGCCCTATGTACCTCACACCCAATTGTCCACCCCTTGCAACCGGCCATTAGGTCTGCTCCTCCGCAGCCAGTGAGGAGGGGAACATCCAAATATCTTCTCTGGATAGGCCATGATTTCCCCGAATGATTGTCCAATATACACCATTCCACACTCACCCATCCCGGGGTGCCCAGTGGGGTCCTCCCCTTCACATTCCCATAGGGCTTGTGGGGTCCCCTGTAGCTGCTGTTCCAATCCAAGGTACCATCGTAACACAGAAGTGCTAGCTGAGCCTTGTGTGGTCCCAGACACGCCTTCCCCCGATTAGCTATCTGAAGCCATCTCCCACCCATGGCACGAGGTTCTCAGTTCAGTGAATTAATCACAGGTTCACCTCAGCTGCCCTTTCTCCTTCCTCTCTCAATTGTGGGCAGTTGTTGTGTCAGTAGCACATTAGTTACTGTTCAGTTGCCTAGTTACCCATCAGTCCCCCAGGTTCCATGCATCCAACTGTGTGATTTCTTCTGCCCACATATCCTTCTTTGGTGCCCCTCCCCCACAAATTAAAGTGTTGCTTCAGCCATCCACAGGATGATAGAATCCTTGGGTTGGCAGAGACCTCAGGAGGTCATTGAGACCAACCCTTTGCTAAAGGAAGAACCAGTTGGGATGGTTACGGTACCCTCCACGCTGAAGAAAGAACACATTGAAGAAAACGGCTTTCACCCATTCCACAGTAACTGCCATGTGTTTGCCCATCAGGAAGTAGTTCTGGCTCCAGGCCGCGGGCGATTTGAAATCCAGGGTTTCCCACCATGGAATCCACATGACCCCTAGATCTCTTCCTGCAGGACTCCTTCCTGGGCAGCCGTTTCCCATTTTGTATGTGGGTGACTGACTGCACCGTCCTAGTGGAACACTTTGCATTTGTCCTTATTGAAATTCATCCTGTGTCCCTCAGCCCATTTCTCTGACCTCTGTGGTACCCCACTTGTGCCTTTTCAGCAAGACTGTGATCAAAGGGGCCATGAGAGGGGCCCTTCTGAAAGGCTCCGTCTGTAGGACGTGAACAGCCTGTGAAGGGGCCTGGGCTGGCCCTGCCTGGGCACTTGTGGAGTCTGGCTCTGTCTGTGCTGCTGAAACGTGGGGGGAGGCTGAGAGCCCCCCACCCGCCCCTGTCAGGTGCAGCAACGGGAAGGCCAAGGAACGATGATGGTTTAGTGAGGAAATTCACACAAGCCCAAGGGCTTCCCAGGAACTGTGGGCAACAGAAACCGCCCCAGGCAGCCCAGCACAATGGGAACAGCTTGGCCCTGACCACAGCAAATGGGCTCCTGGCCAGCTGGAAACAGATAGAAAAGGGCAGTAGCATGACGAAGGCGCCTCACTCTCCCTAGGACAACACACCTGAGAGTAGGGGAGGGACAAATTGAACTCAGAGAGGAAGTGCTGGTCCCAGGCAGGAAATAAGGAAACCTGCCAGAAGAGCCTAACCTGCTTGTGCTACATAACTGGGTGAGATCCTGCTCAGCTCAAATCCTGACGAGTCCTTTAGGCTGAGATTGTGGTTTTGTTTTATTTTTATGGTTAAGCTACTTTGATCTGTTTGCTATCCCCACAATCCCCAGAAAGCTCTCTTCTGGCTCGAATAACTCTACTACCTAACACCCCGTGTGTTATCTGAAGTGCAAGGGGGACAGTCTCCGCTCATGAACAGGAGTTGGTTCATGTCCACTTTCCATTGTCAAAGCGGTGCCCTGGGTAACACATTCTTACTGGTTGGGTTTTCACCATGGCAGGACAGTGCAACTGTGGGATCTTACACGGGGGAGGGCTGGGAGTATTTGGCTGTAGCATCGCTGTTGTGGGTCCATGAGTGGCTGGCCAAAGCATCCATGAAGACAGCTGGGTGTGGTCCCTCCCTGTGATGGCATGAGGTGAGCTTTGCAGCTTGTCACATCACAGTGCAAGAGGGAGCCCAGACGTAGGAAACCGAGGACTCAGCTGTACCTCAGTCCCAGGTGGCACCCTGGGGACGACCCATCACAGGGATTATCCACAAATTGATGGGGGAGAGGTGTGGTCAGTAACAAGGGTGGGGCTTTGAGGCAAGATGTGGAGCAGGGGCAGGACCTTGGGGTAAGGTTGGGTGGGGATGTGGGTCCTTGGGTGTCCAATTACAATGAGGAATACAATTAGAAATGTGGCAACCCCGTGAGTCGTACACAGACAGATTCTCCCAGATGGCATGCTGAGAACCAGAGTCAGGTCAGGACAGGAATTAATCTTTGACTGGCCAGTCAGTGATTCAGGGAAGAGGGCCCAGTGCCCTCTCGCCTGCCAGTGCTGCTCAGAGCTCAGTCTGGGAGCCAGAGCTCCAGCAGAAAAGTTTCCTCACTTTATGAGTAGAGTCAGAACAGCCTCTTTCGGATCTGCTTGGTCCTCACCCCGTAGATGATGGGGTTCAGCATGGGGGGCACCAGGAGGTACACGTTGGCTAGCAGAACATGAAAATGGAGGGGCAAATTGTGACCAAATCTCTGCGAGAGGGAGGAGAAGAGAGTGGGGATGTAAAAGGCTAAGATGACACAGAGGTGGGAGCTGCAGGTCCCAAAAGTCTTGAGCCGGGCGTCCTTCGTGGGGAGGCGGAAGATGGCCCTGAGGATCTGGATGTAGGACAGGGTGATTAGAATCACATCCAGACCGATCCTACAGAGTAGCACAAAGAGCCCATAGTAGCTACTGATGCGGATGTCAGCGCAGGCCAGTTTCACCACATCTATGTGCTCGCAGTGTGTGTAGGGGATGATGTTCGTTCTGCAATACGGCCACTGCCTCGCCAGGAAGGGGTAGGGCAGTGTGAGGATGGCACCTCGTAGCACAACAACCAGGCCAATCTTGGCTACCACAGGGTTAGTCAGGATGGTGGAATGTCTCAGGGGATGGCAAATGGCCACGTAGCGATCCAACGCCATGGCCACGAAAAGTCCAGACTCAATCGCTGAGAAGCAGTGAACAAAGTACAGCTGGGTGAGGCAGGCACTGAATGCGATCTCCCGGGAATTGAACCAGAAGAGGCTCAGCATTTTGGGCAGGGTGGACGTGGACAGGACCAGGTCGGTGACGGCCAGCATGCAGAGGAAATAGTACATGGGCTCATGGAGGCTCGGCTCCGTCTTCACAATGAACAGGATGGTGACGTTCCCCAAGATGGTTATGACGTACATGGCACAGAAGGGGATGGAGATCCAGACATGGGCCCACTCCAGGCCAGGGATGCCCAGCAGGATGAAGGTGGAGGGGTTGGTGAAGATGGTTCTGTTGGAGTCAGACATGGAGTAGCAGAGAAGGAGTCCAACACTGGGACCAAACAGTTTTTGCTGGATGTATCGTGTCTTCTCCCAACTTTGGGCATGTGCCAGGGTTCTCAGGTGATGTCACAGTATGAAAGCCTAGAGGGACAGACAGCATTAGTATGGGGTGTAGCAGCCACTGCTAGAGGCTGTTCTCGTGGGTGAAGCAGACTGGTCGCTCTTCACACAAACAATGTCATTTTCATGATGCAGAGAAATTAATTATGAACAACGGACCCACAAATGCTAATTGCATATGAAGGGTAAACTTAATTTGTTGTCAGTATGACCTCTGCTGTGACCTGGATGTTAAGTCTGGTCTTTGTAAAGAGGTACGTGCCTGAACACAGGTATACAAAAGGAGGGGACAGGTGAAACTGGTTTGAACCTGTTGTAAGGCCTGCAAAGGGACTGTGCGGGGACAAATGATGATTGGAGGGAATTTGTTGCAAAGGGGCATGACCTGTGTATGCATGCAAGTGTAAGTGGTCAGTGAAAGAGGGGTAATTACCATGTAAGAAAGTACAAAAGTCCTTGCCTTTTGTTTGGGCAGTTGCAGAAACTTTGCAGAAACTTTTTCCTGAGTATCCTGAAGGTTTTTGCCCTGGAATGCATTCCTGAATAAAGCTGGTTGCTTAAGAAGGGTGTCTGGAATTGATTTGGTCGGGGTTTGGGGCCCCCATCCGAACCCTCGGATTAAATTCTCCGTCATATATTTTGATGGAGCATCAGGCATCAATCAGCCCCACACAGCTTTGTGTGGGAAACCTTAATAGGCACCAACAAGAAACAGATATTAGGGAAATAAATGGGTGTCACTCGTAGCAACACCATGGAAACACCTTCTCATATGCTGTAGTGACCAAAACAGAGGCAGTGTTGGGATACACAAGGGATCAGATGGGGCTTACGTTCCTCTAGATCTGTGCTTTGCTTTGGTCACCCTGTCTCTGCAAAGGACAGAGCAGACAGAAATGAGGTTTCTGGGGGAGACAGGCTATGAGATGGGGGGAGGTCGCTATTTGTTGACAGACAGAAAGACTGGGACTGCTTAGTTTAGAGAAGAGAGAAACTAGGGTGAAGATGGCAGAGGAGAGGAAACTAAAGAATGGAACTGATCGCATTCCCATGGCCAAGGAGAAAAGAGTTCCCAGCCAGTACTAGCTCCAGACATTTAGTGCTTCAAAAGGGCCAATTCCCCAAAGCGGGGGAAAGTGAGACAGAAAACTGGCACTGAAAACTGGGAATAGTAATAGAGATGTAGCCATGTTAGTCTAGTCTAGCTGAAACAAAAAACAGGACTGTGTAGCACTTTCAAGACTAACAAGATGGTTTATTAGAAGGCACCAAAGAGCTAAAAAGTCAGGATTCCAGTCAAGAAAGTGAACAACTTTTGTTAAAAGTCTGGTTCAGTGGCAAAGGGAAAGCATCAAATGGGAGGAGGAGCAATACACAGCACCTGAGAAAAGGGAAAAAACAGAGATTGTAGAGATCAGAATTACGATCTCAAAGAGAAGATTATCAAGTATATTACCAAAAAAGAGAAATTCTAGAAAACTTGAGTCCAGTTTCTAGAGGGAACAAGGACACCTGGTAATGTTGCAGAAAAAGTAGCTATGTTCTAGGAATAGTTCTCATCTTGCTTAAAGAGAGGAAACACTTTGCAGTCCATCAGCAGTCCAGGGGGTGTTAAACACCATCGACAGTAGAACCTGTCGTTCCGATCACCAGAGGTAAGAACTGACTGATCACCCACACAGCTGGTTCACAACCAGATGTTTGCAGTCAGACAGAAGCAGAGCCGACAAACACACAAACAAAAAGGCAAGTTCCGGAAAGTTCTCTGTTAAATGTCAACTATCAAAAATAAAGACAGAGTTTGAAAAAAAGGTGACACAGGGGAAAATGGAAAATGTTCATGGGATTAGTTCAAGGAAAAGAAGAGTGTTTACACTGCCTCTCTGGCCTGCGGAACTCCTTGCCACCGACATTCCTGCAGCAAAGAGCGTGGCTGAGTGGGATTCACAAATGGACTGGCCATTGTGGCATCACCCTCAGTTAAGGCTGCCTGACGCCTTCACTGAGGAGACCTGGTTTTTAGTTGCTGATATGGGCACCCAAGTGTTTGAGAGGGAATTTCCCACCCTGGGTGTCTGCCTCCCCCTGAATTGCTTTTTGAATGTCTCAGGGACACCAGTGCAGCCGAGCTCTCCAATGAAGATTAGAGAGAAGAGTAAAGGCTGGTAACAGCTCCCCAGCCCAGCACCTGAGATGCAGGAGGAGATGAGGGTCTTCGTACATTCACACGCCGCTGGCTCCTGAGGGCTTCGTGCCGTTCTTACCGCAGGGGGAGATTTCCCTCAGTGGGGTCTGAGCAGACGACTGCTCACAGCCTTAGAATGGGGCCATGTATTGTACAGCTGCTAATGCCCCTCCTCCTCAAGGATCCCTGTGTCGCCATCAGCCATGGTGGGAGGGTGTGTCCAGCAAAGGGACATTTTGGCAAACTCATCCTCTATGGGAAGGGCCCTGGGGTGTTTCATGGCTCTGCAGAGCAGAAAGAACCCCAGGCTGACTCTATCCCCTCACGCCTACATTGCCCTGGGGCTGTGGGGTAGGGGAGCCTCGGCCAGAGCTGGTACCTGTGAGTGCTGAGAGGGACGTGTCTTCCCTGGAACCCCCCTCAGGCAGCCACGTCCCCACCTCTCTCCGCCCAGCATCTGCAGCAGCGTCCGGCGCCGAGAGCCGGCACAGGGCCGGGCACCGTTTATTATATAGCTCAGTGCAATCCCAGCGGGGTTCGCTCAGCCTCTAGGCGAGCCAACATCTAAAGGGCTGGAGACTAGAGACACTAAATCCCGTCTCTCTGCCCATGTCTGCCATTGCGCCGTTTCCACAGCACGGCATGGACCGTCCCACAGGGCGAGGAGAACTCCTGGGCTCTGGGCTGCTCCGCGTTTGTTTATATTTTACAATTATAGTTGATTAGTGAGAGAACCTGGGTGCGTTCTGCCTGGGTCGCCCTAGGGTTTCATCCCATGTCATTGCCCCGTCGGGAGGGGTAGGCAGTCGACAGAGACGTGGAGAAAGATGCCAGCGGGGAGACACGAACACTTTCTGCAGATGCACAGGGCTGTTGCTAGGTGATCAGAGAGCAGTGACTATCAACACACGGGGCAGCCCCTTTCACTGAAGGACTTTGAACCCCCTAGAAAAGGGAAGTCCCCAGGAATTACAGAGTCTAGAACTGGCAGGGACCTTGAGAGTCATCCAGTCCAGTCCCCTGCCCTCACGGCAGGACCAAACACCTTCTACACCATCCCTGACAGGTGTCTGTCCAACCTGCTCTTCAATGTCTCCAGGGATGGAGATTCCACAACCTCCCCAGGCAACTTATTCCAGTGTCTGACCACCCTGGCAGGCAGGAAGTTTTTCCTAATGTCCAACCTAAACCTCCCTCGCCAGAAGTTAACTCTGTCCTGCTCCGAACATGTCTGCTAATACATCCCGGAGTGAGATTTGCTGTTTGCGACAGTTTCACACTGTTGACTCATATCTAGCACATGCTCTGGAATGAGCCTCGCTCCCTTTGCATCACACCCCTTCCCAGGTAGTCATGTCCCATTGTGCGTGTGCACAGCCCTGCCCTCCGCACATTCGCATGCTCTCGATGCCTTCGAGGTGGCTGGGAACCCGCTCAGTGTGCCCTTACAGCCAGACTGTGAGTACGGAGAGATGCTCTCTGGGAATGCCACTTCCCTCATCTGTTGATGAGAAGCTTTGACGGGGTGACTGCTCTGCACTGCCCCTTAAAGGGAGTGATGGGGTGAGGTCACAGAAGACTCATAGAATCATAGAATCATAGGACTGGAAGGGACCTCGAGAGGTCATCGAGTCCAGCCCCCCGCCCTCAAGGCAGGACCAAGCTCCGTCTACACCATCCCTGACAGATGTCTATCTAACCTGTTCTTAAATATCTCCAGAGAGGGAGATTCCACCACCTCCCTTGGCAATTTATTCCAATATTTGACCACCCTGACAGTTAGGAATGTTTTCCTAATGTCCAATCTAAACCTCCCCTGCTGCACTTTAAGCCCATTACTCCATGTCCTGTCCTCAGAAACCAAGAGGAACAAATTTTCGCCTTCCTCCTTGTGACACCCTTTTAGATATTTGAAAACCACTATCATGTCCCCCCTTAATCTTCTTTTTTCCAAACTAAACAAGCCCAGTTCATGAAGCCTGGCTTCATAGGCTTCTCTAGACCTTTAATCATTCTTGTCACTCTTCTCTGTACCCTTTCCAATTTCTCCACATCTTTCTTGAAATGTGGCGCCCAGAACTGGACACAGTACTCCAGCTGAGGCCTAACTAGTGCAGAATAGAGCGGCAGAATGACTTCACGAGTTTTGCTTACAACACACCTGTTGATACAACCTAGAATCATATTTGCTTTTTTGGCAACAGCATCACACTGTTGACTCATATTCAACTTGTGGTCCACTATGACCCCTAGATCCCTTTCCGCCATGCTCCTTCCTAGACAGTCGCTTCCCATCTTGTATGTATGGAACTGATTGTTCCTTCCTAAGTGGAGCACTTTGCATTTCTCCTTATTAAACCTCATCCTGTTTACCTCCGACCATTTCTCTAACTTGCTAAGGTCATTTTGAATTATGTCCCTATCCTCCAAAGAAGTCGCAACCCCACCCAGTTTGGTATCATCTGCAAACTTAATAAGAGTACTCTCTATCCCAATATCTACATCATTGATGAAGATATTGACCTTCCAAAGCAGGGCTTTTCCTTACCCTGGGATCTTGGGTTCTTTCCCTGGGGTGTGTCCAGCCAGACAAAGACAAAGACCTTCTAGTTCCCTATTGTTTTACAGATTCCCCCTTTTGCATGGGAAGTTACCTGGCCTGTCCCTACCAGTTAGGAAGATCATGTGACTTCCTAGGACCAACCACTGCTAAGACTTA